AGAGGAGCTCACTGGAGGTGACTGCCCATCAGGAATTATCACATCTGCACCAGAAGGGTGACCAGTTCTTCATCCTCTTGCCCTGGTGGCCACGGTTGCAGCTTCCTCCCACCCTTGAGTTTTAGGCTGGGGTGACAACTCTGCAGACAGAGGGCTCTGACCCAAAGTGTCTGTCAGTTTGGTGGGTCACCTTTCACCCACTAGATCTATGTGACATCTTCTCTCAGTCAGGATCCGGCTCCTGGTTCTCCTGCTAGCCTGAGAGCTAACTTGAAAGTGTTTGGCACTCTTTCTCCATCTCTCTTGCTACCCAAGTCCCTTCAACCAGGGACATGACAGAAAATGGAATTACAACTAACCCCAGGGAAACTCTGCTACCCTCCCAGACACAGGAGTAACTGAGAACAGTTTGCTTTGAGTGGAGATTTTGGGTTGTTGTTGTTGTCTTTGCATAAATAAAACCCTCCCAGGACCTGGCTCTGCTTTTCCCTGGTGTACCCCTTTGCAATCCTCTAGGTCCTCCTTTCTCCTCCTCCCTGCCTCCACATTCAAAATAAGGAGGGGCAATCTCTCACAACAGCACATTTGAGGTTAGAGAAATACTTTCATTTTTCTTTTCCCAGTTAGGGCGGAGCCCTTCCTGCTGAGTTTCTACTCAGGCTGACTTCCTGCTCTCAGCTGTGGGCCACAGCAGCCAGGAAGCCTGTGCAGAGACCAAGGGAGCACAGCTCACTGTTCCAGGCTCCAGGCAGGTGCTGGTAGATGGAAGGGAGCAGCATGAGCACCAGGTGGGTCTTCTTTCTGCTCTGTGACTTTTCCCACTGACAGCATGGGTGAGTTTATGTCTTGAGTTACTGGCTGCAGCTTCAGTCAGTCCAAACCACCTGACCTGAAGAAGCTTTGCACTATAGTATGAGAGGATAGATTGTGGGGCAGATGAACACAGAATGAAGAGAGAGGGGGGAGAGAAGGAAGAATGGGGAGAGAGAGAAAGAGAGAGAGAGCATCTGGAGTTTTTTAACTGTGTAAGATATCTGCTGGCATACTGTACACAAGTCCTAACTCTCCTGTTTGCAGCCACTGCTCAGCTGTCAAAGGAGACACTGGCCACGGCTGACAGGGACTCCTGCAGCTGTCCTCTGTGGCATGGCTGTGATTATCTTACAACTTCTGGGCGCTCTCAGTCTCTCTGCCTGTCCCTGCTTTCACTAGGTTACCTCACGGGAAGAAGGCCAAAGCAGAGGCTTCACTGTAAATATCTGACTCCTCCCTCCAACCCCACATTCATCTTCTACATGACTTTGACATGTACTTGGAACCCAGCTAGTTCATTTATAGGGTCAAACTCAAAACCATCTATCTTATGCATGTTGGTTCTTCAAAGTCTTTCTTTCATATAAAAATTTATGGTTTGCACAAGCATCTACAGTAGTGATGATCATTTTCCTATGGTCTTTTCCCCTCCAGGATGTCCACAAAACATGAGAACACAGAGACTTTTTCCATTGAGCCTCTATTCCTGCACTTCAAAAGACAGAAAGTGGCGATTTCACATGCAATAAAAAAACCATTTCCTTTCCTTGAGGGCCTTCGTGATCACGACCTCATCACTGACAAAAAATATCATGTAAGTGAGGTTTATTACAGCATAACCTGGTAAACAAACTCCAAATTAAGTTACACTTTGATATCTTGGATCCAAACTTCAGACTGGTTAACTGACAGGTTTTTAAGTTTGGATTTAATTTTTTTTTAAAGATTTCATTTCTTACTTGCATGCATATGTTCATGTTTTCCTGTGTGTGTGTGTGTGTGTGTTCACATAGATGCTTGTGCCCAGAGAATTCAGAAAAGGGCCTAGATTTCTTAGAACTGGAGTTAAAGGTAGTTGTGAGCTGCCTGATGTAGGTTCTGGGAATGGCACCTAGTTCCTCTGCAAAAGCTGCACATTCTCTTAACCACTTAGGCTTCTCTCCAGCCCCTAGACTTCATTTTGACAAAGAAAGCTCTTGGATTTTCACAGCATTTTGTAGAGACATGAATTATGATAATAAGTTAATCAATTATGAATCAGAATTATGGCCTCAGATTTGAAATCTCCTGTGAGTTTCCTGTGAGTGACACCCATTAGGCAGATATTTCTGGAAGTGTTCTCTCCAGGTATAAAGGGAGAGGTGAAGCAGAGGCTTCAGGAGATGGTCCTGCTTCCATCTGCAGAAATGGTGTTCCGTGCACCTTCTGGGCTCAGTGAGTATTGTTGAAGATAAGCTAGATCAGAATGGAGGTTCTCCATAGATGTGCAGCGTCTTCTGCACTTGACACTGTTCGATTCATGTAATTTAAACTAAAGTAAAAAAAAGTGATTGTAATTAACTTCAAGTATTTATCAAACTGACTTCATGAAATTTCAGTTAGCACATCTTATTTTAACAAATGCCTATTTCAAAAACCTAGATTTGAGAACATTAAAATCTACAGAGTGTCTTATTAGGACACATTTTAAAATTATTTATATTGTTTTCCATGCCCGAGTGTTTTCTCTGCATGTATGTCTGTGCACAGCCTGTGTCCCTGGTGCTGTTGGAGGTCAGAAGAGAGGCCCCGAGATTCCACAGAATTGGAGTCAAGCAAATGATTGTGAGCCACCAGGTGGGTGCTGGGGATTGAACCCAGGTCCTGTGGAAGAGGTCCAGTTAACAGAATACCACTGACAACCTGCCAAGCCCATTCTTAAGTATCTTGTCTTTTAACTACACATTAGCCATGTTTTTTGTTTTTTTTTTTGTTGTTGTTCAAGGATGTATTTCTTTTTCTTTTCATATGTACAAGTATTTTGCCTGCATCTATGTGTGCATGCCACTTGAGTGTGTGGTGCCCACGGAGGCCAGAAAAGAACACTGAATCACTTGGAACTGGAGGTACAGATGTTTGTGAGCTGGCGTGTAGGTGCTGGGACCCAAACTTGGGTCCTCTGCAGGAGCAGCAAGCACTCTCGACCCCTGAGCCATCCACCTCTCTAGCCCTCCACACCTTTAGAAACATTATTACCTTTATTATTTATTTACTTATGAGTACATGTGTGTGTTTGTGGTGTGTGGGTATCTGTGTGTGAGCCAGCTGCTGTGCATACGGGCAGGTAGGAGGACAACCTGTGGCTAGCTGGTTCTC